TATTTCACTCACTACAGTATGTTCAAGGTTCATCGATGTTATAGCATGTGTCAGGATTTCCTTCCTTTTTAAGACTGAATATTCTATTGTTCATATATACATTTTGTTTATCCATTCATACATCAGTGAATACTTTGAGTTGCTTCCACCTTTTGGCCATAGTGAAAAATATTGCTATAAAGATGGGTGTAAGGATCAGCACTGTGGTGTAGCGGGTAAAGCTGCGGCATCCCATATGGGCAGTGCCAACATCCCATATGGGCAGTGCCAACACTAGTTAGAGTCCCAGCTGCTCCACTTCTGATCCAGCTCTCTGCTATGCCCTGGGAAAGCAGTAGAAGATGGCCCAAGTCCTTGGGCCCCTGCACCCGTGTGGGAGACCTGGAAGAAGCTCCTGGCTCCTCCTGGCTTTGGATCGGCCCAGTTCTGGCCATTGCAACCATTTGAGGAGTGAACCAGTGGATAGAAGATTTCTCTCTCTCTCTCTACCTCTGAGTCTCTGTAACTCTGCCTTTCAAATAAATAAATTAAAGGAACTTGATGCCTACATCATTGACCTCACCTCATCTCATCACGCAAACATTGTTGCTTCCCCATTATCCCAGGGAGAAAGGTGAGTAGAGTCCATAAAATATTTTTAAAGAGATCAGATTCAATACCTTTTGTATAGTACATTGTTAGAATTATTGTATCTTATTATTACTTACTGTTGTTAATCTCTTACAGTATATAATTTATAAATTAAACTTTATCATAGGTATATATGTATAGGAAAACACGCAGTCTATACAGGGTTTGGAAGCATTTGTGGTTCAGGCATCCAGTGGGAATCCTGGACTATATCTGCCAGGGATCAAGGAGGCTGCACTTGTTTTTCACTTGCTCTATCTTTTCTTTGTTCCTTTCCCACCCCTTCACTGCTCACTTTAAATTAACTTAACTTTTTCAATAACTCCATTATAGCTCCTCAATTGGCTTATTCACTATACCACTTACTTTTTTAAAAAGATTTATTTATTTTTGAAAGTCAGAATTACAGAGAGGGACACACACACACACACACACACACAGAGAGAGAGAGAGAGAGAGAGAGAGGCTTTCATCCACTAGTGCACGTTCCAGATGGATGCAATAGTCAGCCTTAGGCCAGGCCAAGCCAGGAGCTGCATCTACGTCTTCCATGTGGGTGGCAGGGGCCCAGACACTTGGGGCATCTTCTGCTGCTTTTCCCAGGCCATTATCAGGGAGTTGGATTGGAAATGGAGCAGCCAGGACATAAACTGGTACCCATATGAAATGCTGGCATTTCAAGTGCTGGCTTTACCCACTATATCACAAAGCCAGCCCCTGCACTTCTCTCTCTCTCTCTCTTTTTTTTTCCTAGTACTTATCCTAGGATTTGAGTCAGAGTTTTATATATATATATATATATATTTTTTTTTAAAGAAATTGCCTCATATATATATGGTTAGGGTTATATATATATATATATATATACACACACACATATACACAGAGAGATCTTCCATCCACTGGCTCACTCCCCAAGTGGCCACAATGGCCGGAGCTAGGCTAATCTGAAGCCAGGAACCGGGAGTTTCTTCCAGGTCTCCCATGTGGTGCACTTGGGCCATCTTCCGCTGCTTTCCCAGGCACATTAGCTGGATCAGAAATGGAGCAGCTGGGTCTCGAACTGGCACCCATAGGGATGCCAGCACTACAGGCGGTAGCTTTATCCACTATGCCACAGTGCCAGACCCTTCAGTATGTATCTTTAACCTATCACAATTTATCTTCAAATTATAATTTCATAGATAATGTAATAAGTTTACAACAGTATTCTTCCAATTACTCCAATATACATCCCATCCTTTGTACTACTATTATAATATATTTTAATTCTGCATATTATAACTTTGTAATTGGGACCAGTGCTGTGGCATAATGAGTAAAGCCACCACCTGCAGCACCAGTATCCCATATGGGGCACTGGTTCAAGATCCGGCTGCTCCACTTACAATCCAGCTCCCTGCTAATGTGCCTGGAAAAGTGGCAGAGGATGGCCCAGGTACTTGGGCCCCTGCACCCACACGGGAGATCCAGAAGAGGCTCCTGGCTCCTGGGTTCAGCCTAGCTCAGCCCCAGCTGTTGTGGCCACTCAGGGAGTGAACCAGCTCTTTCTCTCCTTCTCCCTCTCTCTGCTTCTCTGTAACTCTACCTCTCAAATTAATAAAAATAAATCTTTCAAACAAGAAAAATTTCACAAAATACTATCATTTTTTGCTTTGAAGAGGCAATTTCTTTAAAATTTTTTTTAAATATGAAAAAAGGGTCTTTCCTATTCCCCACTTATTTGCCATTTCTGGTGTTCTTTCATTCTTTTATGTAGATCCAAAATTTGATTTGGCATCCCCTTCCTTCTGCTTGAAGAACTTCCTCTGATATTTCTTATTCTGCTACTGATGAATTCTTTCAGCTTTTTTTTTTTGTTCCATGTTTGCAATATATTTTAGCTAAGCACAGAATTCTAAGTTGATTATTTTGTTGCCTTCAGCAGTTCCATTGTCTTCTGGCCATGTGGTTGCTGATAAAAAGTTAGCTGTCACTCCCATCTTTGTTCCTCTAAAATATCTTTTTTTTCAGACAACTTCTGAGATTTTTCTGTTTATAACTGGTTTTAAGTAACTTGATTATGATGTGTCTTAATGTGGTTTTCTTTGTTTCTTCAACTTAAGGTTTATGTTTCTCATTAAATTTACAGAATTTTTAGTTATTTCTTGAAATATTTTTAATCTTTCCCCTTCCCTTCGCTTACTCCAGTCAGTCTGCCCACTGGCTTACTGAATCACTCTCTGTCTCCTCCACTCCCAGTTTTTCTCTCTCCTCATGCTTCATTTTGCAGCTTCTACTGCTATGTGCTCAAGTTTACTGCTCTTTTCTTCTGCAGTGTCTAATCCATTGTTAATAACATCCAATTATTTTTTCATTTTTATAAGTTCTATTTTGGTCTACTTTATCCATCTGTTTCTTTCCTTATTATATTCAGACTTTCCTTTTTATCCTTAAGTTTCCTTGTAAGATCTATAATACTTGTCTTAAGGTCTTTATTTATGAATTATATCATTTCTGAGTTTGTTGCTGAGTGATTTCTTCTGGATTTATGTCTTCTTTTCTTGTTTTTTTTTTTTGTATGCCTGGTAATTTTTTATTGATGACAGACTGTGAATGTTACATTGTTTGGTGGTTGGATGTTGCTGTATTCTTGTAAAGAATATTGGATTTTGTGGTGGTGAGCAGCTAAATTACTTTTGGATTACTCTGATTCTTTAAAGGATTCCTTTTAAGCTTTGTTATGGTGGGTCCACGGCAGACTTTATCTGGTAATACTTAGCTCTGCTATTAAGGTGCGACCATTCTGAGCACCCCAGCCAATACTCTGTGTGTCTTTCCACTCTGGCTGTTAGGAGCACAGGGCTTTTCTTAGTGCTGTGTGGGCTCCAGGCACGATGTAACCGTTCTCCTTAGGTGTCTCTTTCCCAGGTCTCAGAGAACATGTATGCACAGATGTCATCAGCCAAAGGTCAAGGGGATCTCCCTTAGATTTCTGACACTCCCAGATCTCCCTGTTTCTGTAGCTTCTCCTTTTCTGGTACTCTGGCTCATAAATCATAACCACACTGGCCTCCCCAAACTCTGGTTTTTGCCTCGTCAATTCAGTGAGAGACAGCTGGGCTATTCCCATCTTCCTCCCCTGCCCTGCAGTCTGGAATTGCCTTCAGGCAGTAAGCAGGGGTACACGGGGCTCACATGACTTCTTTCCTTTGTATTATGGATCATAGCGCTGCACAATCTGCTTTCCAACGTCTTAAAAAATCATAGTTCCATTTTTTCCTAGCATCTTTTCAACAGGAAAGTAACCTCCACTGAAACTCGCAGGCAGAACAAAAAATTTCAATGGCTTCTTGATATTATGCCTATCTGTAATTCTTTTGTCTACATTTACAAACTAAGTCCCATTCACAATCCAGACTAATGGGCCGAGTTATCTAAGGTATTTTATGCAATCCAATAGAGAGACAGACAAACAGAACAGGACCAGGAACTGAGCCTGATGCTGGGGTACAGAACGTGCTATCTCCAGACCTGGGTTCTAACCCCAACTCCGTCACTACCTGGGTCAATGCTTTCAGAAATTTAACATCCTCACATCTTATTTTCTCCCTGGTAAAACAGCTTCCTGTCCACATACAACAACTGTAGAATAAGACTACAGATACGTCTACAAAACACTGTTCTTTTCTTTCCTTGCTCTTAAGTCCACACATGCTCCCCTTCCACCTCCTGCACTAACAAGCTAACATTCACAGGGCAAAGGTGTAACTTGCCAAATTCCTTAAAATGCTTTCTACCTCCCAAGAGCCAGGCTGGTATTAAGCTATGAAATTTCTGTTATGCCACCAACTATAGTTCAATTGGCACAGCCAAAACAGAACATCACAGTGCTAGACTCCTGTGCTAAATTCCTAACAGAAGTTATTTTTCTTCTGACTTTCTATAAAGGAAACAAAAAATATTTCTTGTTCATCAATCCTGTGAATCATTCAGATAAATGCTTATCTTCATTTTTTTCTGAATAATTCATTTAATTTTTTATTATCAATACGAAGAATATCAACCTTCTCCTGTCAATTTCTTGTCTTACAGAGAACCCCATCACAGAGCCAGGTTTACCAGATTTGCTTCCTTGGGCAATTACAGAATTTACATCTGACAACGTCATTTCTTAATTCTATTGAGCCAAAGGGTTTGATGCAAACCCTTACGCAGGGCAGATTCTTCTTTGCACATCTTCCTGTAGTCTTCTGAGGCCAGCCCTTGGACACACCACACCCTCCTCTCCTCTGTCTCTCACACAGTTCAGAAGCTGTTCTCACACCCAGGGAAGTAACCCAGCACCAAACTGCAGAGCCCAGCACAGGCGGAGTGCAATCAGCCGTTACCTGGTGAGATCCTGAAGGCAGGCTCTTTACCAGGCCCTCTGTATCGGAGGGGGACTTCCGTGGAGCCTGCTTAACCGCTGACAAACTCTCTGATGTACTGCAGCTGATGAAATGGCAATTTGGAGAACAGATGTAAAAAAAAAAAATTAAAATAAACAGAAACAAAACTATAGATAAATGTGATGACAAGATCAAAACACACAAAACAATGGGTATCAAAATGATCACATCTTAAAGCTATTTTCTACTCCTGACATCAATAAATGACCCGACTGCTGGGAGAGGCACAGAACCCATCGTGGTGGAGCCTCTTCACCTAGTTTGCTGTGATGACACTGAGACGCTAGTCACAAAGCAGCACCCTTAACTAAGGGCCTTTGTCTTTCTCCTGCCAGGACAGGTTAAAAGCAGCAAGTTGTATGTTCTGATGAAATATGCTTTTGTTAACGTAAAAGGCAAATGTCTTATGAATGTATATTAAAAGTTACAGGTTTATATCCAGGCAGGTGACCCTGGCTCCTCTCATTTCCTCCACTCCCTAGTTTCCCATACTTTGCCTCCCTGCGAATACCAAAACCAAACCAAAACAACAACAACTCCAAATCCAGGAAGTCCTAAAAGGTGAGAAAGCCTGGAATGCCATGTCCCAAGGGCTGACCGGCTCCAAGGGCAGGCAGGAGTTTAAAAACAAGCACTACCACATAAATAAATCAGGCAAAGCCAATGCCATCTAATGAGATGCATCGGCAACACAGGTTAAATCCTTTATGATGTATTTGTGTAAAAGTCTGGGAGCTGGGGGAGGACCACACTTAACAGTGTCATTACTAAGACCAAGGCACACCATGCATTCTACGAACTGTGCCTTCTCTGAAACAGCAGCCTCCATGCCCTGAACGAAATGGTTTGATTATTCTAACACAGAGGGTCTGACTCTTGATAACACAACACATGTACGAAAAAAGAAAACTAGCTCGTGCACGCACACACGCACACACACACAGGCACTTTACATGATGAGCACATACATCCAGATGATAACAGAACCCCTCTGTCACCTGACAGCAAACAGCATCTGGCCCTTATGCCCAATGTGTTTCCAACACGATCACGTGACGTATTTGTGGACACTCCATAAACAGCTGTTGGGTTAGTTTGAGCTAGCTGGTTAGTTGTCGACAAGGGAGATGGGCTGAATACACGCACATGAATATTAACAGCAACGGGCAATGTGATTAGTTACCATGTGTCTAGTGGGAGTGGAAGAGGACACCCAGCCCTGTTACAGTCCCAACGTGTCTTCTATGTCAGCTTTTCTTAAGAAGTGGAAGATAAGCAGGATCTGATCCCAGCACACCAAGGTGGAAAAGGCAGGGAAGGGAAAAAAACCAAGGTAAGAAGAATAGCAGCATTCACGATGCCATGCAGGACTCTAAGGAACACCTGCCTGTCCCCTTATTAACCAAAAGCAAGAATTACAAAGACTGGCATGTCGGCTCCCTGGATTAGCTTCCTGGTGAAACCCCGTGGTCCAGCTGTATGTAATCAAAAAACACTCACCATGCAAGGGGGCAGATACAGCAGAAGGGATGCATTCCAAGCAAGTAATACCTGAATCTGAGCACTCAAACTTGTTAAAACACAGCACTCCTAAGAACTCCAGATCAGCAGAGCCCAAAGATAGAGGTTCCCACTGTCCACCAGCAAGAGAGGTCAGGACATGCAATGCTCTCTGGTCACAGTGCCCTCAGGATGGTTAGTTAGATCCGTGCACCCCTGACATGGCTCATGCTACCTCCACCTGAATCCAGCCTTCGCTCCGTCTTACCATGTGAGTTCTATATAGCTTATATGGGTTAGCTTTCCAGCTAGAGTGGGGGAAAAGAGAAGGTCCTTCCATTAGACACACACCCTGTGCTCCAAGGCGTTTCTTTTGAGAAGCCATACACCAAAAGAAAGTCTGCTTTCTTCATTTCTGGTATATTTTGTTGTCAACTTTTTTATCCCAGTTGAGGTGAATCTAAGCCAAGAATGGTCAAAGCAATTAAATGGCTAAAGCTTGGTGGTGGTGGTAGTAGGGGGCTGGGGAGGCAGTCTTAAGGAAAAAGGAAAAGCCCTAGGTCATCACACTGGGCTGGGAGGGGGGAAGCTATTTGCACAGCTTCTGGATTAGGGCTTTGCATTTACCCTGCTGACAAGGAACCGTTATGTGGTTATCGCCAGGAAACTCAAATAAAAGCCTAAAATGGGGGAGGAGCTTAAGAACACCGACTGCAGGGTACGTGGTGGTGAAACACGGAGCACAGACTGCTGAGTGGTTCACTTCACCAAACCTAGGAAGGGACCTCTGGCTCAGCATCATATTCCACAGTTAACAGCAGGCCACTGATCTCTGCTTGCTCATTTGGGCGCACCGCCTGATTCGGACATGACAGCAACAGCAGCTGATTCTTCACCAGCTTTTTTCCACAACCATACAGCAGTTTTCACAGACCCTGGTTCCTCCCTCCCCCCCAAACCATGCTCTTACCCGGTGTAGTCCCGTTTAGAGTTTTTCCTTCTGTAGAAGACAGCCAGAATCATGCTGATGAGCAGAATGAGACCTAGGACCACAGCAGAAACTATACCCACCACCACCCAAACTGGAAACTCGGGCAAGCTCTCTAGAGAAAGAACAAAATCATTTTAAGGTACATCGCTACGGAGGGAACACATGGAAGCTTATTACATTAACAGCAAGTGCCTTCTCTTAGCAGTCCCCACACCCTTGTCAATGCTCAAGTTATCTAACTGATGACATAGAAATGTTAGCTGAAAAAGATGAACTGCAGAACGAGGTACCCACTGCCCACACCCACAACTTCTCTCAGTGCTCCACAAAGGAAAACTGGAGATGCGAATTTCTCTCCACCTATTCCCCAACAGGGCAAATCATCTCAAACTGAACCTACATTTTCTGCTCAGTCTCAAAAAAAAAGGGGGAAAAAATAATGATTGTTTCTGGAAATACTAAAACTTTCTCCCGGGCATCATGACAACAGCATTAATGTCCTTCCACACTGCCCACTGCGTTTGACCACAATTAATCTGGTCTTCCTTCTAACTGGCAATGAAAGGCTTATACTCCTGAAATCAAATCAGCAGGGAAATAAATGGAGGCACTGGCCACCTAGTGGGATTGAGCCGCAGCTCCCCGCCACACTCACACGCACCCCAGGTGTGTTTGGTAGAGCCACGGGCTCACAGAATCACGGAGCACAGCTGTATGGTAAAGCACTCCCTTCAGACATACCCTAAAAGGGGACTCATATTCTCCAACTAAACACAAGAAAAAGGGGACTGTGTTGGCACTGTGAAAATACTCAATTCAGAAGTACCTTTTTCTACGACATACAGCCTAATGTGTCCAGGTTGAACCACGATGTCAGGAGGGTTTTTGACATCACAGATGTAGGTGCCGTTGTGTATAAACTGCATGTTTTCTATGTTGATCGACGCATCTTTCTTGTCAAGGTCTCCAGCCCAGCTGATTCTGTCTTTAAATGGTGGATAATTCCCGAGGTAAACTTGTCCTTGAGAATAGTGGAAAAACTGCAATTAGAAAAAGCAAAACAAACAAGTTATTCTCAAAGACAGAATTTCTAAGCTCTATAATAGGTATGCTGTAAAAAGTTATCTTAAAAAAAAGGATAGATTATTTATTTGAAAGGCAGAATTACAGAAGGAGGGAGAGAGAAAGAGAGCAAGAGGGAAAGATAGTGAGATGATCTGTTGGCTCACTCCCCAAATGGCTATAATAGGTGGGCTGATCCAGGAACTCCATCTGGGTCTCCTACATGGGTGGGTGGCAGGGGTCTAAGCACACGGAGCATCTTCCACTGGTTTCCCAGGCACATTAGTAGGGAGTTAGATATGCAGTGGAGCAGCTGAGACTGGAATCTTCATTCATATGAGAGGCCGGTGTTGCAGGTTCATCCTAACCCACTGTACCACAATGCCAGTCCCTACAACACTCTTTTTAAAAGAGACTTCTTGGGCAGGCATTTGACCTGACAGTTAGGTTGTCAGTTAGGAGGCCCGTGTCCCACACTGGAGTGCACAGCTTTGCCTCTGCTCCTGACTCCAGCTTCCTGCTACTGTACACCGTGCAGGCAGCAGAAGATGACTCAAGTGACTGGGCCCCTGCCATCCATGTGGGAGACCCAGGCTCCCAGCTTTGCCGGCACCCTGGCTGGCTGTCATGGGTGTTGGGCATTTGGGAAATTAATCAGCAGAGGAGAGCTCTCTGTCACCTAAACTTAAAAAAAAAAAAAAAAAAAAAAAAAAAAAAAGACTCCACACAGAAAGAATGCAACATCACATCACAATTCTCAAGTTATAGAATATAAGTTAGACAAGTTTGGCCATCACGGGCTTTGACAGAACCGATTTGTAGATGACCTCCAATCCTCTTAACAACCTATTGATATCATTACTATTACCCAAATTGTTACGAAATGGAAATGCAGATTCAAAGAAGCCATTTTCACAAGGTCACAAGGTCACAGCGCTAGTAAGTGGAGGACCCAGGGGTCAGAACCAGGCCCATCGGACCCCTCAGTACCAACGCTCTTCTGACAACTCCATGGCTGAGCCCAGGGACTCCAAAGCTCCCCACGGAGATACGCAAAGGCCTGAAGAAAAAGAACCCTCAACACCACAGAGGACTCGGTCTGTGGGTTTCGCCCTCTCACACTCTGCGTCATGGAAAAGCCGTGTGTACGCAGAAAGAACAAAGCGCAGACACGAGTGCGCTTGCCTCTCTCTGCACTCTCCACTCGCTCCTCACACCTCCTTTCACCAAAGGAGCTTCTTTGCAAAGAATGGGTCAAACCCAGCGCCTTGGAAGGCTCAGGGGGAGGGGATCTGTCCTCATACCCTCTCTCTTTAACCCAAGCAGCCCTGCTGGAGGCTGGATATCTTTGTTCTCATTCATGGATGGAGGAGCATGGGGCAGAGTGGAGCCGGAGGGATAGAAATCAACTCCCCTGGCAATCCAAATAGAGGATTTTAGAAACTTCTTGAGGGCTAGCACTGTGGCATAATGGGTTAAGCTGCCTCCTGCAGTGCCAGCAGCCCATATGGGCACCAGTTCAAGACCCAGCTGCTCCACTTCTGATCTAGCTCTCTGCTATGCCTTGGAAAAGCCATAGAAGATGGGTCCCTGCACCCACGTGGGAGACCTGGAAGAAGCTCCTAGCTCCTGGCTTCAGATTGGCGCAGCTCCAGCCATTGTGGCCATTTGGGAAGTAAACCAGCAGATGGAGGAGCTCTCTTTCTCTCTCCTTCTCTCTCTGTATAACTCTGACTTTCAAATAAATAAATAAATCTTAAAAAAAAAAAAAAAAAAGAATCCTCTTGAGCATGTGGAATTTCCCTGTGCAATCTCATTTGTCCCATGACTGTCAGCTCTCCACTTCTCTCTCATCAATAGCATCCCTTGAACTCCGCACCCTTCACTAATTGTCTCCTCACTTTACCACAGGTTACCCTCAGCCCCCGAGTTGTCACCTGCTCCTGTAAACATCATCTTCCACCTGTGTATGTCATCCTGTTTTTTTTTTTTTAAAGGTTTTATGTGTTTATTTTAAAGGAAGAGTGACACATACACATGGCTGGAGTAGAGAAAGAGGAAGAAACAGAGAGATAGAGATGAGAGAAAGAGAGAGAGAGAATCTTCCACCTGCTGGCTCCTTCCACAAATGGTTGCAACAGCTGGGGCTAGGCCAGGCCAAAGCCTGGAGTCAGGAACTTGGGTGGCAGGAACTCGGCTGTTTGAGCCATCCTATGCTGCTTCCCAGGTACAGTAGCAGGAAGATGGATCGGAAGCAGAGTAGCTGGGACTCAGTCTCAGGCACTCTGACATGGATTATCCTGCTGCACCACAGCACCTGCTCCTGATGGCCACCGCTCTCATTTGAACATTTTTGCTTCCTCTGAAACTCACATTGAAACTTCCTCCCCATTGCTAGTGCTGGGAGATGGCGCCTGGGGGGTATTTGGGTCACTAGAGTTCCACGCTCGTGAGTGGATTGAGGCCACCACAAAGACAGAGGGAGTCTGCTGCTCTCTTGCTCTTCTGCTCTCCACCATGGGACGGCGTAGTAAGAAGGCCCTTAGGAGACGCCGGCCCCTTGATCTTGGACTTCCAGGCCTCCAGAAGTGTAAGGATTAAATCTCGGTTCTTTACCCAGTCTGTGGTGCTTTGCTACAGCAGCACAAAATGGACTAATTCGGCTATTATTTGTTTCCCAAACCATGTATTTTGGAATAATCCAAGATTCCTCCTTGTAATTCCCTTGTCAATCTACCTTATATCTTTCTCTCAGTCTCTTTTTTCTCTTCATTTCCCACCACCAATACCTGATTTCTGTTCTCATCAACTTGAACCTCTTAATTGGTATCCAACTCCACCTTCAACTTCCTATAGTTTATCCTCTACAATGCCTAAATGATCACTGACAAATAATAATAATGATAATTATTATTGTTATTACCATTTATCAAATATATCTTGAACTTAATATAACCTAAATGCTTGGTAAGAACCTTGAAAGGAGGGCTTGCATTGCAGCACAGTGGGTTATGCTGCTGCTTGCAATATCAGCATCTCCTGTGGGGTGCTGGTTCGAGTCCCAGCTGCTCCACTTCCTATCTAGCTCCTGACTAATGTCCTGGGAGAGCAGCAGAGCATGGCCAGGTGCCTGGGCCCATGCCACCCATGGGGCACCTGGAAGTGGCTCCTGGTTTCGGCCAGCCCAGCCCAGCCCAGCTCCAGCACTGCAGCCATATGGGGAGTGAATCAGCAGACAGAAGATTCTCTCTCTGTGTCTGTAACTATGACTTTCAAATAAATAAACCTAAAAAAAAAAGGTGAAAGGTGGGGTAGGCATTGTGGGATAGAGGTTAAGACATCACCTAGGTCGGCACCACGGGTTCTAGTCCCGGTCGAGGCACCGGATTCTGTCCTGGTTGCCCCTCTTCCAGTCCAGCTCTCTGCTGTGGCCCGGGAAGGCAGTGGAGGATGGCCCAAGTCATTGGGCCCTGCACCCGCATGGGAGACCAGGAGAAGCACCTGGCTCCTGGCTTTGGATCAGCGCGGTGTGCCAGCCACAACATGCCAGCCACAGCGGCCATTGGAGGGTGAACCAATGGTAAAGGAAGACCTTTTTCTCTCTCTCTCTCTCTCTCACTGTCCACTCAGCCTGTCCAAAAAAAAAAAAAAAAAAAAAGACATCACCTGGACTCCTTGCTTCCTATATTAGACTGCCTGGGTTTGAATACCTACCTGCTCTGTTTCTGATCCAGCTTCCTGCTAGTGTGCACCTTGGGAATCCGATGATGGTTCAAGTATTTGGGTCCCTGCCACTCACATGGAAATGCAGATGGAGGTCCAAGCTCTTGGCTTTGGCCTGGCCAAAATTGTGGGCATTTGGGGAATTGAAGATCTCTATCTTTGTCTCTATCACTTTGCCTTTCAAATAAATAAAAATAAATAAGTGAAGGGTCTAAGATTTTACCTTCCTTGTAAGCTAACAAAGGTTCACAGATGATGGCAGAAGACATGGACTCCTGTGAAGTCCTCACTCCGTGAAGAAGACTCCGGGACAAAGGACTTTATTACTTATGATGTGGCAGGAAGCACGTGTTCATCCATTCTTCTTGCCGACAAGTCCCATGAGGATGTCATGGAGGGATCAGGTGGATGCTGCACATGAAGAAGCATTGCATCAAAGCCCATTTTTTCAGTTTTTTTTTTAAGATGGGCCGAAGGCATTTCTAACATTTGCCCTGAAGGGAGACAATATCTTTACTAGACAGTAAGTGGATCTGTCCTCTACCGCAGAGGCAAACACCATCTCTGTCTTCTAAGGTAGACACTATCTTTATAAAAAGTCTGGAACCAACTCAGCTGGTGCTTTGGCTTGCAACGTGCAGAAATGTAAAAAGACTCACGGAAAAGTCTCCTGACAACACTCTAATGCTCACATCTGCTCTGCAAGGTGTGATTCACCTGCCTGGTATTTCACAAATGAGGAAAGTGAGGCTCTGAAAATCTTAATGACTTGCCAAGGAAAAGCTTAATGATTTGCTGAAGAGGAACTGGGGTAGATGGCCAGGGTAGAATGATATGCAAAAACAAGGAAACAAGCTGCTTTTAAGAGATGCTGAACTTATTTTTTTCCTGTAGTTTGAAGCAAGAAAAGGGCTTTGAAGTCTATAATACACAACAAATACACTCATTTTGGAAATGAGAAATGAGAATAATGGATAATTGATTCCACTGCAGCAGTAAAGAAACTTGTGAGGTAAGGCTAAAGCATTCTTACCGACACAGTGGTGTCAGACCCCTCTGGCTGGAAGCTCCAGGAGACCGTGGTCAACCCGCTCGTGGCGTCTGTAGACTTGAACTTGCACGTAAGCCTCCCTTGTGTCCCATTTGCCACGAAGATTTCTTTTGGTGTGTACACCTCCAAGGCTGATACTCCAGCTGTCACTAGAGAAAGAACACAGATGGTTTTAAAGCAGGACTCAGTAACTTAGCATAAATACCATTGTGCATATATATAGAGAAGATGGGGAAAAGACACAGGAAATGATTAGATATATACAGTAATCCAATGCCATTATACCATATATTCTGGCAGGTAATTCAGTATCTAAGTACTTCCTACAAATAGAATAATTGCGGACATCTGAGTTTTTACTTTTTAGTAAGATTTTTAACTTAATATTTATGTTTTTAAACTTAGAAAGACTATTTTTAAGAGCATTTTTACTTTGACAAACACTGAGTGGAAGAGATCCCACATATTCCTTCTCTCTCTCTCTCTCTCTCTCTCACACACACACACACACACACACACACACATCAGTTTCCTCTATTATGCTTCTCTGGCATTAGTGTGATGTATTTGTTTCTAATGAGACCCAACATCGTTACATTATTGTTAGCTACACAGCACTGTTAGTTTCACTCACTGTTACACAGCCTATGGATCTTGACAGACATGTATGATGGCCTGCATTTACCATTACAGTAACACACAGACTAGTTTCATTGGCCTAAACATCCTCTGTGCTCCAGCCACTGACCCCTCTGAAGCCCCTGGCCGCCAATGACCATTTACCATCTGTGTGTTTGCCTTTTCCTGTGTGTTCCATGGTTGGAAGTCATACACTATGCAGCCTCTTCAGATGGGCTTCCTTCACTTAGCAGCATTCAGGCATCCTTCCGCCTTATCTCTTGGGGGCGTGACATCTCACCCCTTGTTATTGCTGAGTAATTCTCCATTGATCACAGTTCCATTCACTTCATTCGCTTACTGAAGGCCTACTTCATTGCCACCCTGATGGCTTCGTCTTTAATGCTGTGTCAGTCACATTTTTATTTTTTTAAATGGTTCTCACATTTACCTGTTATACATAATTGTTGTCACATGGAATTTTTTTAATCTTTGATATTTAAAATTTCTCTAAAATTAATTAATTAATTTATTTATCTGAGAGGTGCAGAGAGAGGGACTGAGTGCTTTCATGTTGGTTCACTCCCCAAATGTCTGAAACAGCCTGTGGCAGGGGCTGAAGCTACGAGGTGGAAACTCAATCCAGGTCTCTCCACACGGGTGATAGAAACTCAGTTATCTGAGCCATCGCTGCTGTTTCCAGGGTGTGCATTAGCAGGAAACTGGAACTGGAGTGGAGTCAAGTATCAAACCCAGGCTCTCTGACATACGATGCAAGCATCTTTTTTTTTTTTCTTTCGGACAGGCAGAGTGGACAGTGAGAGAGAGACAGAGAGAAAGGTCTTCCTTTGCCGTTGGTTCACCCTCCAATGGCCGCCGCGGCTGGCGGGCTGCGGCCGGCGCACCACGTTGATCCGATGGCAGGAGCCAGATACTTATCCTGGACTCCCATGGGGTGCAGGGCCCAAGCACTTGGGCCATCCTCCACTGCACTCCCTGGCCACAGCAGAGAGCTGGCCTGGAAGAGGGGCAACCGGGACAGAATCCGGCGCCCCAACCGGGACTAGAACCCGGTGTGCCGGCACCGCAAGGTGGAGGATTAGCCTAGTGAGCCGCGGCACCGGCTGATGCAAGCATCTTAAACTGGCCCAGATGCCTGCCCCTCATCTTCAATAGTTAAAGCAACTAAAACTCTTCTAAGACATCACTTCATTTTAAAGCCAAATGTATTCTGATTCTTTTCCTAGAAAAAACTCGAGGCAGAAAACTGTATAATCTGTGAAATCTAACCGATGGTGTGTTAGGTACACAGCCCTCAAGAAACAACCGACCGCACCGTCATGTTTGTATTCTGCCCACTGAGGTTTCCTGCTAGCCGAAGCCCAGGGCATAGTAATTAAAATGTGTTCCATCATATGCAACATAAAAATAGCTCTTCTTCAACATCTGCAATCAGAGGCAACTGCAGGAATTATGGACTCCTGCTAAAATAAGAGTCTTCACTCAAAAAGAGACACTTCCAGGTTCAAAATGACGGTCACCGAGAAACTTATGTAGCCTAAAGTTGGTAACATAAAACACCCATCTGCAAGAGAAGATTTTTTAAAAGAAACACTCTGCAATAAATATCTGCAGTGTTCCAATTGTTCTCAGAATGTAACAGACAGGCAGAATAACGCAGGGTATTGGCAGCTGGGACGGATGGTCATTTTCAGGATTTTTTTCTTCTTGAGAGCCTGTGACTCCAGGGGGAGGGGGGACAAGGGCACTCCCCCACTCTTCCCAACCATCTTCCAAATGTTTATTCTCAGGACACAATGGGCACTTTTGGCTATTCTTTTAAATAAACTGATAGCCACACTGCATCCAGCAGAATTTTTTTCTGCTAAAGAGGGTGGATTATTATTATAGGGAACAATGGATTATTATTTGTGGTCCAGACCTCAAAACAAGCCCTTCTTTCAGACGAGAAGCAAACAAAAGACATGCCTTGCTGTTGTGGGCAGGCAGAAAAGTAGCCCTGGGGCCCAGGAGTTCAAAATGAAGGGCAGCACAAGACCCGACGAGCTGCACAGCTGATTCCAGGACACAGCACTGCTGTGCAACCCTGACTCCCTCTGTGCGGCTTGGACTAGCTGCATCCGCGCTGAGGAGCACTGCCAAGTGAAGCCCCGCAATCTACAGGCCACACAGGCTTCTCAAAGGTTGCTGTAAACCAGATCCCTGCTTCCAGGAGAACTGGCTTTAAGAATTGTGCCCCTGAGACATTATTTCAAGGCGGAACCAGGCCAAGTGTCCAAGTTTACAGTCCCAGAATTTTGAGCAAATAAAAAACTAATCGATCCCTAACCGGCTTTCAGGTAGTCTATTTAAGATGGACTTAAGTGGCTCTTTAGAACAAAGGGGAAAAAGGCTATGCAGCCCTTAGAACCAGGAAGGTGAACTGCCCCTCTCTCCAATCAGCTAGCTCCTTTAAAGAAAGGAGGCTTCACACACAGTGAGCTAACTTCCCCTCATCGTGGCCGTCTATCCTTCTATGCAACATTACTCCTGTCAGAATTCTTGGAGCCTCTGTTAGTTCTAAGATAAACCTTCTAAACCCCTGGTCTCTGTGTGCAAAGCACACTAAGATGAGGTCTACCCTAGCCACCTATTCCTACGGTCATTCCCTAAACCAAGGCTTCTCTGCTTGGCGCTGCTGATAATTGCATCAGGTGATTCTTTTTGGTTTTGTTTTAAAGATTTATTTATTTATTTGAAAGGCAGAGTTTACAGAGAGAGAGAGAGAGAGAGAGAGAGAATTTTCCATCTGTTGGTTCACTCCCCAAATGGCCGCAATGGCTGGAGCTGATTCAGGCTGAAGCCAACAGCCAGGAGCTTCTTCCGGGTCTCCCACATGGGTCCAGGGGCCCAAGGACTTGGGCCATCTTCTGCTGCTTCCCCAAGTGCATTAGCTTGGAGCTAATTAGCTTGCAGCTGGACTGGAAGTGGAGCAGCTGGGACTCAAACAGGTACTCACATGGGATGCTGGCATTATATGTGGCAGCTTTACCTGCTACACCACAACACCAGTCCCAGGTCGGATGAGTCTTTGCTGTGGGAAGCTGTCCTGTACATCATACAATGCAGTAAATGGCAACTCCAGCCCTCCAGTGGCTGAGGCCAAAATCCTGGGATCTTTCATGTCTTTCGCACAACTTACTTCTAAGCCATAGGCAAAATATATCTTGAAGTTTCTCTCTCCCTGCCCCATCCTGTGTTACCATCTTGGTCCAAGCCACCATCATCTTTCACTTGGACACTTCAATGCCTGTCTCACTGGTGTCTTTCTTTTCCAGCCTTACTCACTTAATTGTGGTGGCTCCCCAGTGAGACCAGAGAGCTCTTGCTAAAATGCAAGTTAGATTACATCACTCCTCTGCTCAAACCCTCCTAGGGTTTCCCACAGCAGCCAAGATCAGGTCAGTCCTCATGTGGCCCCCAAAGCCCTACACAAACTCCCAGCCACCACTCAGATCTCATCTCCCACCCTTTACCCTCAAACACGCTGCAGCGGCCATGCTGGTCACCTTGGTATAACGCCCCTGCCGGTACAGAGTATCCCAGAAGATACACACAGACTACTCTCCACGCAGCCCAAGCATAGCCAGCCGCCAGTGTCAAACAATTGGGAATGGTGTGCTTTGTCCGGCCCTCTCCTCCTAGCCTCTTTAAGTGACTAGGAGTATTATGCAAATGCACAGTAAAATGACTGTGGAATCCAGACAGCTCATCTTCAGAGTCACAAAAGGGAGCTGTTCTTAGGGGAGAGTTAAAATGGCTAAAACTGCAAAGGCAAAGAACACTGGGATTTGCAGAACTTACTGCTCTAATCTACACTCCATGTCACTGAAGTCTGGAATACTAATCCAGTAAAATACCAAATAGGTTCTTTTTCAGGCCTGGGGTTCACAATGACGGGTTAGCCAGCATGCTTGTGAAATGCATTAAAGCTCCGGTTCAAAAAACTGCAGATGGAAGGGAAAGAGTTTCCTGTGGACTGCTTAGGAATAAAAGGAAACAAAATAAAAACATGAAGTGATGAACAAATGTTTTCAAATCCTGCCAAATGTGAATTCTAAGCTACACACCACCTTCGACCTTCCTGGTAATGGGAGCTGAGCTCACTTTCTCCCTGGGGAAGGTTTCCCGCAGGAGTGGAAGACCTTGCTGAACTATGTTACCGTTTAAAGAGCGAGAAAACAAACAAACAAAACCCAAACAACGCTTCTCTTAATGTAGTGTGGAGAATAAGGTTCCTAGAAGGTACTTCATCGCCAGGGAAGTGACCCTGGCCCTCCTCGCAGGAGCTTAAGCCAAATGAACCACGGAGGTGGAATCACCGGACAAGCAACCAGAGCCTGGGGTCATCTGACCAGGGCACAGTTCCACCACTTCCAATCGAGTCCCAAAACTTGATTTTCTTACATTTTGGATGGATAACAAGCACATTTTAGAAAAAAGAAAAGAAGAAGAGGGAGCCACTAAGGAG